CTAAGCTTTTCGGCTTAAAAAAAAAATTTACTCCCATTTCATCAGTTCTTGACCGATTTAGATGAAATAGCTTTTAATCGATCAGGAATTGGTTCAAGTTTTTAATTATCATTCCAAACACGATGCCTCCGGTATAATATGTAACGGAAAATTTGCAATGTTTGGAAAATAATTGCTCAAGCAATTTAGCAATAGATTGTGATCTATTAAAACCAAATAAATTTTTAAAGTGGGTAGTTTCAAATGACATCAACAGATTTGAAATTCTTCAATAAATGGCTGAGCTATGATTTTTCGAACGTTGCCAGTTTGCCGTTACACATTTTACCAGAGGCATCGTGTTCGGAGTACTAAGAATATTGTTTTTTCATACCACTAAACATATATCATGCAATTTTTTTCATAGTATAGATCAACCTAGAAAAGTTTATTTTCATGGGAATATTGACTCTCCCCTTCTAAAGGAAACCTGTTGCGATCAAATTGGTTCAGAATTGAATGTGTGACAGTTATTTTAAGTGAACCTTAAATTGCTACTTTTTTAACATACAAATCATCAAAATCAACTGATATAGCAACGTTAAAAGTGTTATCACGAATCGATGTCTTATTCAATAATCACGAAATTTTGAGAAAACGTTGTTCAATGTGTGAGAAACCTAAAAAAAACTACAAGCGACAGCCCTATGGTGTTGTACGCAATGGTGACGTAGGACTACGTGGTTTTATATAATAAAAAATCTTATTTGCTAACTGCAGCAGGAGCTTATGTTTTGTGTAGGATTCTCTCTGTTTAATCTCTTCAGTATGACGTGCTTGTCATAGATGGCCCACAGCAACTCACGAAGAGCTACTGATTCCGATCAATAGCGGTGCGGCTTCTTCCTCCTTCTATGGATGCTCCTGTGGGCTGCAGCTCGCTGCTTACATGCAGCCTTTCGTTGGGTGCTGGAGAACACCACCACTCACCAAGCGGTGATTGAATAAACACCATTTGGTGAGACCGGTTGGGATTTCGCAGATTTTCGCAGGCAATCGCTGATAATTTTAGGATCATAGGATCAGTTACACATCCGTTAAATTTTCAATAGTTACATTTTGAAAAATGAGAGTCTTAATTTCAACAGATTCGTAGAAAAAATTTCTATCGATTGGCGTATTAAGAATTAAAAATCTACCATCTCGTGATCAAAATCAGACCACTTTCATGCCGCGACCGACTTTGGTTTTTGAAATCGCACCCCCCAATGTTGCCTTAAAGTACATGGTATCTTAGACTTAAACATATCCACATAGAACTGGAATTAGGGCGTAACAGCTTTTGAAAACAATGACTTCTTTCGATGATGTCTTGAAAATCAAGGCACGCCCACGAAAACCAACATTACCGTCAGGTAGGGGAAGTCTTACCCTACCTGATGGTGATGTTGGTTTGCGTGGGCGAGCCTTTACTTTCAAGACATCATCGAATGAAGTCATTGTTTACAAAAGCTGTTACGCCCTAATTTGTAACCGTTTGTTACAAAACATGTTAGATTTTTAATTTTGTGCATGGTTGTTAAATGTACCGTCACGTCTCTTAAAGTTATTTGGTGTTGGATTAGTAGGGTTAGTAGTCGTTGTAAAAAAATGTTAATTTGTTAGTAAGATTAATTGTTTTTTAAATTTGAAAATTGTATAAAACCGTACAACAGTACAGTGGGTATGAATATTCTACCAGTGGGTACAACAACATTCGGGTGAAACTATGAATTCAAAATGGGTGGAAAATAACGTCTCACGAGAAGAGCAATGGGATGGGAAAAGCGCGAAGGAAAACCACCATTCCTCAATCAGTATCTGGCGTTCGTGTGCTTCGGATCGTTAAAACCAAGTGTCCTTGAAGTAATAAAAGTGAGTGGTGAATCGCGGGAATACCTATCTGTTCAATCAGGACCTTTTTGTGGTACCATTCGGTACAGCGCCATTTTGTGAACCAACCGACTAAGTCGGTCAGGAAGCACACGAGTCGGATTATTAGTCCTTAGTGGCTATTAATCCTAACAGTAAAGGACATCATTTCGATTTGGCATTGCAAGGTCAAAATCGCCGCATTCCTCGGACCAAGGCGGCTCTAAACGCAAAAGAGGACCCCTCTCATCAGAGTCACTCCGGCCTTGCCTGGACTCTGGTGATTCTCGTCAACGAGGGTAGACGCCAGGAGACCGCAGATCGCCATCGAGTTAAGTCGATCTGTTGTTCCAACATCACCACCCTGTCAGGCTTGATTCGCCCGACGTCAAGCTCGTCGTACGTAGGATCATCGGCGAGCGCTCGCACATCGGCAGAGTAGTCTTCGGCAGAGCAGAATCAACGGCAGCAGTTCAGTACCGGTACGTCAAACCCCCAAAAACCCACTGTACATCCATAAAATTCAATAGAACTATTAGAAATCCAATCCACACCTGCTATAGCTTTTATTAATAAATAATAGTATACACCCTTTGATTACTGTGTCACTTAAACTTTCCATAGCTTTTAGTCAGGTGACAGTACTGCACGTTAGGATCGCGAAGCCCCTCCAGATTACCCAGTAGTAAGCCGACCTTGAGACACAGCTCGAGAGGTTTCTTGCTACTGAGCGTTTTTACCGAGATACAGACAGTAGAGTAACAAATTCCAGCTCTATCTCGATATGGGAACTGACATCCGATTGATGACCTTGGCAAATGTCCAAAAAATACTCTTTGGCAAATTTATGGTGGTCCTGAAAAGGGCCATTTTGTCGTGATGGTTGAGTAATGCTGAGTTATTAGGGTGTTAAACACAGATGAGGCTGATGAGCTGTATGTTGTTTGGAATGAGGATGACGCGCTTGGCATAGATGGCCCAGAGCGACTCACCAAGAGCTACTGATTCGGATCAATAGCGGTGCGGCTTCTTCCTCCTTCTATGGATGCTCATGTGAGCTGCAGTTTACTGTTTGCAGGCAGCCTTTCGTTGTGTACTGGAGAACAATGTTCAACGCTACGTGCCGAAAGCACTGCTGCTGCACACACGGTGATTGTAACTCAATCCGACCAGCGGTTGAGGCCAGCCTTGGTAGCTAGCTGCTTGCGGGGAGCCTTTCGTTGTGTACTGGAGAACAGCACCACTCACCACGCGGTAATTGAATAAACACCGTTTGGTGAGACCGGAAGGAATTCAACTTCGAAATCTGTGTTAGGGAAATCACTTTTCGCAGGCAATCGGTGATAATTTTAATTTTCAAAGCAACAGTTGCACCAACAATCAATACGAAGCTAACGATTTTAAATTGGCTCACTAATTGACTAGCCTATTGGTCCCAAGCAAACGATTAACGTGCCCCATTCTAGTCGAAATTCTAGTACTACGCAATGTTTGTTTTGATTCGCTATGAAAGTTTGACAGATAAAATGAGGGGTTATTGGTTTTTCCTATGTTTCGAGGGGTGAATCGTTTAGCTTGGGACCGAAGAGAGTACCAGCATAGAGGTAACTCTAAGACCACTGGGTCCCGAAGAAAATGATTATTATTTTTGGCTCACTCAGTACCAGAACAACGGTCCCAAGCAGTCTCAAGCTATTTCACTCACCCCTGCATGTTCTGCTTGAATCCACACACCCCTGATGTTATCTGTCAAACTTTCATAGCGAATCAAAACAAACATAGTGTAGTAATAGAATTTCAACTAGAATAGGGTACGTTAATCGTTTGCTTGGGACCAATAGGCTACTAAAGTGGTGAGCCAATTTAAAATCGTTAGTTTCGTATTGATTGTTGGTACCAGAGCTGAGCCAAAAAGTTGAGCACGTTATTTCGGGACCTTCTGGTCTTAGAGTTACCTCTATGGTTGCACTTTCATGCAATTTTTAAAAGTGACATTTTGAAAAATGATAAAGTCTTAAATGTAACAGATGCGTAGAAATATATCTGATCGATTGGTGATAAAATTATTAAAATTTGTCCAGGGACAGCTGAGTTATTAATGATCAAAATCTTTCATAATGTTGTTACATGTTCCATTTTCGGTTTTCACAAAGTGTACCCCCAGTGGCTTAGGCCACTGTGCAAATCTCGGCAAAAATTGTCGACTTTAGGAAAACAAAATTAAGTGTGTCCACGGTACAGACAACGTACATAAGTTTTTTTTTAACACCAACGAATGGTTAATGAAAACCTGAAAAAAATAATTCAAAACGCCAGCCCAAGAATGAGCAACAGCATTTTGTAAACTGCTTACCCTCATTGCTTCACTCTTCCCCTCAGTCGAAGTCGAAATACGAAAAACGATTCCGAAAAATTAAAACACAACATGAATGAAAGCGGTGAAAGTAAGACAGGGTGAGTGAGTGAAATAAAATACAAATAAAGGACGCAGCTTTCGGAAGAAATTTCCCAAAGTGCACGAGCCAAGCGCGGTGGGGGACCGCACCATGGGGTTCAGGTACGCGGTGGAGGGGGGTGTGGGATTTAATCGACAAAAATTTTAAATTATTTTCCATTTCTTTTTGCAGGGGCAGGAAGGAAGAGGGGAGGAGAAGGGGCGAGGAGGAAGTTTTATGCTGGCTTCTTCGTTCGGTCCAAGTCCGAGCTGCTTGGCCAGTTGGGAAAAATCGTTGGCATAGTTGAAACGTGCCAACCAGGCAACTGCCTTTGGGGTGTTACATTCGAAAAAGCTTATGAGAGCGAGTGGTGCGAGCGAGGGGTGATGGTGCAAACAGCTTTTGCTCCTCATCTCCTGGATTATTTACTTGGAGGATGGTACGGAATGGGAGAATCCTTTCTGTTTGTGCAAATTTTGTTCTGCTGACGAAACAGCACATTCAGAAGATGCATTTTAGATTCCGGTGTGTAGTGAAAAGATTTACAAAACAGCAAACGAGTTGAAGAACTTGTAAAGTGCGGTAGAATTTTAGGTGGGATTTTGTCTATGTCTTCTGGTTTAAATTCAGTACAAACGTAGCCTAAGATTTGATTTTCTCCTTCTTCTTTTTCAGGCATCTTCTTGCACATTTGGAAAAACCCCCCGCACTACGATATCTACAGAACGATGATCGACAAAAGGCAGTTGCTCATCTACTTGGAAGCCATTGCCAGTGAGCTGAAGAAAATAGTTGCCCTTCCGTGTTATAACTTAACACCGTCCCCAAGTCCACCACCTTCAGCAATATCCATCTCATCGGATTCAAGCTCTACTGCATCAGCTTCGTCGCCGATTGGAACGACCTCTAATCCATCAAAAACGCGCACACGGTTCCGATGGTCAACGGAGCTGAACCGGGAGTTGCTGTTCTGTTACTATGTAGTCACTAGTGGTGGCCATAATTTAGTCGGCTATCGTCAGCGGTTTCACGATCTGTGGTGCAACCGGCAAGTATCCTGTGACCATCTAACCGAACAGAACCTCTTCAGTCAACTGCGACGAATACAGCGAGATCAGCTACTTCCGGATGACATCTGCCGCAAGCTACGGTCCGAAGCGTGTGAGTACGAGTTCGACTACCACTGTTCACGATCGCGTCCGTTGAGGATCTCCGACAAGAATAGGAAAGTGTTCCGAAAGCTAGCAAAGAACTATAGCCGACTGAAGGAACTTCACTCGGTTAACCGAGCATTGCACTACCTGAACTCGGTTATCGACATGAAGTTCAACGCCAGTAGGGAGATTGACGTGCTAGCTATGAAGAGGGTTGTGCAGGTTCTAGGGGAAACTATTCGAAATAGTAAGGACACTACCAATATCGGGAAGCATTTGGCTAGCTTTCTGGGCATTCTAGTTCCAAAATACTTTCTAAATAACACAAAAGCACGTCACTACTTGTCGCATTGCCGCAGGGACTTCTCTTCGTTGCTGTACATCGACGAACAGATAGACTACGCTGAGCTGCACCGTAATCTTAGGATCTTGAGAAACCTCTTGTTGTACGTACAAAATCTAGAATATATCCTAGCGATTAAGACCCTGATGAATCGCTTGTATGACAGCAAATGCATAGAAGAAGTCAAATCTTACTACGCTTACATATTTCGGAACAATTCTAGAGACTTCTTGAAAGATCTGGAATTTGCTCCTTTCCTTCTGCTGGAAATTCATTCGATCGTGAGTACGTTGATCGAAGATCAATGCAAAGCTGGGCTAAAACTCTCCGATCGAATCGAGAAAATAAAGCTCCGCATTCGAAAAGAGATCGACAGCTACAAAACTCTGCATCAACAGTTCAGCAATACGATCCTGATGATCGACTGCATTATTTCCAAGATCAAATCCAATAACAGTCACGAAAAAATTCGCCACCTCGTTCGATCGCATCTGCGAGCATTCCAGCTTGATCACAAGGTGAGCCAACTCTTCCTGAGTCAGCTGCGATCGCAGCTGCTGCTCTATCTATACGATGATCTCAAATCGATTGGCAGCGAACAGATCCAATCCCATTCGGCACTTTTGGTTGCAAGGGTTCTCTTTGCAATCGACAACCACCAGGTCCAACCGGGGTCGTTCGATTGCAGTTACCCGAAATCTTTCGCAGTTCCATTCACGGATGATTGTACGACTTTGATTGCTCGCCTGGAGACAAGAACCGGTCGATCATTCAATTTCCTCCATCAGGATCCCATTTTCCAAAAATCGAAAGATCACCCAAACAAGCGGTATGATCTTCTCCGTCAATGCCTCTCCAAGCACAACGTCACTCTCGAAGCATCCATATTGAATGAACTCAAACAGGAAGACGAAAATATCGCCGAAAATAAAGTAAGCCAATTGCAGAACCTCTTCTTGGATCAGAACATGAACATCCGATCGCTCAACCGGGTTGAAGAGATTGCATTCGAAATGGTTATGCTGGAGGCAACGTGGGCACTGTCGCCGAGACTTCTGAACAATGCCGACAGCCTTCTAAACTACGTTCCCGTTCTGACGGGGAGAAATCTGCGGAACTACCTTGCCCACGGGAGCATAACCTACGAAGTATTGATCTCCAACGTTAGCTTCAAAACCATTCTACAAAACGCGCTCAGCATAATCAAACTCTCCAAGAACATAATTTCCGAAATCTACGATCGTCATAGTTGGGACTTCAGTGATCGATTGGAATGCTTAAAACATCAAACGAGTATTTTGGAAGGCTTCCGGTTTCAGAGCTCTAACGAAATACGAACCACGATCAAGCGTGATCAGTATCTGATCGGGCAGAATCATCTGAATCACGGCATCGTCGACCAATTAGTACAAACGCAAAGTTGTCTCCTCTTGGGACACCTCTTGGATGTGGGTAAAGTCAACGACCTGCTAAAAGTACTCTGTCATTTGATGGAGGACATCAGCGTCATTCCGGCCAGTGGAAAGCTTCACGATCTGGCTGCTGACCTGCCTGCTCGGATACGATTTTGTTATAACCTCGCACTGCTGAGTAACGAAGAAGATATCCTGCTGAAGATTGTCACTGACTTTGGATACGATCAAATCGACGCCATCCCAATGATCTTCAACTTTGACAAGCTGTTCACCAGCCTGCTGGAGAACCACCCTGAATACGACGTCAATACGGATTCAAACGTGGAGATTCTTCACTATGCCGTTCTTTCCGGGAACGTGGAATTGTTGAACCTGCTGCTGGATCAGTGCAACGATCTGAATCAACGAGATGTGTACAAACTTACTCCGCTGGATGTGGCATGCAAGCTGAGTAACTTGGAAATGATCAAAACTCTAACAAATGCCGGAGCTAGGTGGTACACTAACAATCTAAGCCAGTACACCTGGCTGTTCCTGAACAACGATCACGAAGCGATCATATTCCTGAAGAACAATGATCTTCTGAACGAAAAAATCACTCGAGCTTGCATCAACCTCTTCTTGCAGTACTGCGATGACGACAAGGAAGAGATAGTGGAATTCATGTTGAATTATGTGGATTACACGAACCTGTATGCGATAGCGGCAAGATTCAGAAGAGTTAACGTACTGAATTTTATGATCGCCAATGATGAACGGATGAAGGTCAACATCAATAGAAAAGACAGTATGGGACAAACGGCGCTGCATGTCGCTTGTGGGAAAGGATATCACGATGTAGTTCAACTTCTTCTAAAGCAAGGCGTGAATCCCAATTTACAGGACGCAGCAGGAAACACCCCTCTGCATCTTGCTGTTGAGTGCGGTGGCATTGCAATTACGAAATTGCTATTGAAGTTAAACGCGAAAATAGACTTGGAGAATCAGATGAGCAGGACACCACTGGACTTAGCTGCTCAGTTGGAGAATGTGCGCATCGTTAAACTACTTCTCACACAGAAGCAGCCAATTCGGGCTGTTCGGATACCCGAATCTCTTCAATCGCTGGAAGTTCTGTGTCTGTTGAAAATGGCGAATGTAAAGTACAAATTAGAATCGGATGCGTGCTACCATGATTCGTTAACTCCGCTTCACTTGGTCGAAGATGAAAGCAGGTTACGGATTTTGTTACACTATTTCCAAGTAGATGATCAAAGTTCCCAGTTTATGGATACGCCACTTCACCTAGCTTGCTTGATGAATCGTGTCAAGATCGTTCGCGTGCTGCTGCAACGCGGAGCAAATCCGAGCCTTACGAATTGTGATAACCTTCTACCACTTCATTTGGCAGTGATCAACCGAAACGGGGAGATAGTAAGCATGCTGATGGCCTATGTTGAACAGCTGGACACAAATTACGTCAATTTAGCTCTATCGATAGCAGTTCAGAAAGGGTTCTTGGATATTGCAAGCATCTTACTAGACTTCAGAGCGGATATTTCCGTACTATCATCGGCCATCGGCGATTCAGAGCGCAATCTGCTCCACGCAGCTGCACGGGAAGGCTTCATCAGAATTCTACGCTACCTCCTACAAGAGCGAATATTCGATGTGAATGTCGAGGACTCCAGCGGGTTGACTCCGCTGTTTCACGCAGTGATCAGCGGAAACATCGAAACAGTTGAAGTGCTCCTACAGTACGGAGCCAATTTAGATCATACAACTAAATCCGGTCAAAATGTCATTACCATAGCCACCATGTATGATCGCCTGGATATCGTCCGGTATTTTATGAACAACTTCCCCAGCACAGTAGACTGCGTTCTGAGTCCGCTCAAGGGACAAAATACCTGCCTTCACATTGCCGTCCTCAAGGGATCGCAGGCCATGGTAGAATATTTCGTCAAACTTCACTTAGACAACGGCTATCATCTGAACGCGCAAAATCAGGAAGGTTTCACAGCGCTCCACATTTGTGCCCAGACTGGGAATGAACGGCTTTTCAGGATACTGCTGGAGAACGGAGCTGATCCAAACGTCACCCTTGATAACAAACAGTCGATCCTGCACACTGCCGTTTCGAACAAGAGCATGAACATCGTCCGGATCGTACTGGATCGAGGGTTGATCGATCTGAACGCACACGATGACGACGGTCGAACGATTCTGCATTATTCCGTGTATTCGAAGGAGGTAACCGTGGTACGGGAGGTCCTCAAGATCCGTGGTTTGCAGATCAATCAACAGGACTGCGAGGGCAACAGTGCGCTTCATTTGGCGGCAGAGAATCAATATGTCGACATCTACAATCTCCTGCGTCGGCCAGTGGATAACGAACTGAGGAGTCACGGCCGGAAACGTGCAATCGATGTTCTACTGAGGAAGTAGAGCTCTAGGAACTAGCGCATACAGATAGGTATTGTGTACAGAGAAATCCCATGTCTTCGGAAGGAACTGTTGTGTTTTTTATGTTTATGGAAAATCTATAGAACTACTTGCAACTATAACGGTGTCGTGTGATTTTATGTATAAACTAGTGGTAGATGTGAAATTATGGAATCCAAAATTTGTAGTGTTTGGTATTTTAGGTAATGAATGCCGTTGCAGTTGGTGCCAGAAAGTGGGAATTGTTTGCGGTCATTTCCACCACAAGCTGTATGTTCAGAGCAAAACAATTCCAAATGAGATAAACATGACCAAAAAAACACATTCTGAATAAGAATATCCATTCACTTGAAAAATATTTGTATATCTGGGATCTCCAAACATATTCAAAGAAAAGTATTTGAAATGTTGTCTTAGGCCGGAATGTTAAATAATTTCAAATTCGCTGGTCAGATTTCTAAAACTATTCCAACCTTTTCACTTTTTCTCATTCTGCCACAGTGACTAATTTAGTCTAATGGATTTCGGCCTAATGGCGTTCTGTTCAGTGGCCATCAGCCTAATGGAACTAGTATACATATATTACTCGAGAATCGCATCATAAATCTTCGAAGATTAACTATAGGGTAAATCAGTCAAGCAAAATCAAACCAATGAATCGGCAGCTTTGACACCTGCTTAACTGGCATCACTACATGTGCAATTGTACATTTCAAAGCAAACGTTAAACCTTAGATATGTATTATTTTGTGTGGCTAAATCAATTGCAACATCAATATTTGTAAACAATATATTCCAAACAGAACACGCTTCATGTAAAGTGTTGCCATCTTCGAGTAATCTTTCAATTCACAAACAACTGATGCAAATATTTGCACTGATGTGGTCCTTCAAAATCGGGAAGGAGCGGCATCTGTCACTCGATAAAGGCGCAATAGTTCATAAGACATAAACAATAGATATATTTATATGTGACCAATATATAAATATAACCGGATACCATTACAGCAGCTGCAAACAAATCGAACCAATTTACTAACAGACGTACACAAAACTACTGGAAAATCGTGCAACACTTCGATTTTTGTCTATCTTACTTTCGAAATCTATATCACAGATGAACAATATAACTCAAAGGTGGATTCTGACTACCAAAACTCAGAGTCCACTTTTTACCGTAATAAACTTCACTAATCAGTTATCTTCAAACAGCATTTTTGTTACTCAAACTGCAATAACCAAATATATATGATCGATCGATTTATATATATCCACCATAAATACAACCACAATAACACAAGTATTGAATGACAGATGCCGCAAATTACCCCGTCTTCGGAATATGAATCATTTAACTAGCGCAATCCTGTAAGTGAGCAGAAACTAGCCAGCTTTTCAGTAGCCGGTGTGTTTCTACTGCTAGAAAATCGTAAGGACAGAAAGGTGAACACCTACACATGAGAAAATCGTTGAAACCCCCATTAATTGAACCAAAAATGTCACATTATGAAAGCTAGTCAATCAAAGTAACTTACCGTCATATGGAACCTAAATGTCACCCACGATGCAAAGCTGCTGCCTCGTGATTGATCTTTATCTCATCCCAAGAAGGAAGCAATTCAAACCCGAATCGAACCGTTTATTGGTTTTCTATCCTCCTTGCAGTGAAAAGTTGAGGTTATGAAATAAAATCAATCGAAAGGTTTCGATTCGTGAAAATAAATAGTGTAGAGACATAGCTAAATCTGTGAATTAAAATTCACTACCATAGAAAGCAAGAAAAATCGCATTTTAAAAATGAAAACTCAAAACATAGAACAAACGTGAGATTCATACAGAAACAAAAACTAGGAAATCGAAATAGTAATGCAAAACAGATATTACTAACTACTAAGAAAACTACAAACACAAAGCTTAAACAAATGAAACTCAAATTCATATTCTTGTTATATACATTTTCGTTACTAACATATATTTGTGTAATAAGTAGACAAACCTACTCAGCTCCGATAAACAAAACAAAACGGAACAACATGCAACAACACTCACACTCATGGACAAAATTTTAATCAGAAACAAACACGAAATTAGACAAACATAATGAAAAAAAGGGCGTAATTTAGGAAACTACACACCATTCAGTCAAAATCGAAAAGGTCGTTTTATGATAAATAAAGAAGTAAGCTTTCATTTTCATCTAACAGTGAGTAAGATCAATAAGGATGGATGTTTAATTGGTCCGTGATCAATATCACATTCCTGAATGCCCCTCTCTGCCCCTTGATCTTTGTGTATGTCATTTTCAATGAAAGTTCTCATGCGATATTTACAGATATACTTCTGTCACTATCATCAGATGAGAAAACCGATGACAGAGATTTACTTCAAAACCTCATCGATTGTTTGTCATGACAGAACGTGACAGTGTTGTTAACATCGCAATTGCTAGCTCATCTATTGATATTATTGTTACTTGTACCACAAACGAAGTGACAGACGACTAACTGGCGAAAAAATCAATTAAAATAATGTGGTTCGCTGTAATAGAATTTTCTTAGAAACTTGTGCCATCAGCCACCAGATGGGCTAGTATTTTTGTTTTGATTTGAACAAAGTTTATTTTGTGTGCAATGATCTTTGGGAGTGTGCAAATAGTGTATCATCACAAACGAAGTGACAGACAGAGTGGCTCGAAAACTTTGGTGACCAACCTGCTATTTCAATTTTTCAGTGTACCATATGGCAACGCCACTACTACTGGATTGTACCAACAATCAATACGAAACTAACGATTTTAAATTGGCTCACCACTTTAGTAGCCTATTGGTCCCAAGCAAACGATTAACGTACCCTATTCTAGTTGAAATTCTATTACTACACTATGTTTGTTTTGATTCGCTATGAAAGTTTGACAGATAACATCAGGGGTGTGTGGATTCATGCAGAACATGCAGGGGTGAGTGAAATAGCTTGGGACTGCTTGGGACCGTTGTTCTGGTACTGAGTGAGCCAAAAATAATAATGATTTTCTTCGGGACCCAGTGTTCTTAGAGTTACCTCTATGATTGTACCACATGGCAACACTACTACCATAGAGGTAACTCTAAGACAAGTAGGTCCCGAAGAAACGTGCTCACCTCTGGTACTATCTTCGGTCCCAAGCTTGTCGAATCACCCCTAGAAACATAGGAAAAACCAATAACCCCTCATTTTATCTGTCAAACTTTCATAGCAAATCAAAACAAACATTGCGTAGTACTAGAATTTCGACTAGAATAGGGTACGTTAATCGTTTGCTTGGGACCAATAGGCTACTAAAGTGGTGAGCCAATTTAAAATCGTTAGTTTCGTATTGATTGCCCGCATAAACAATAACCATAAGAAGCGCCTAACCACCAATTCGGGATATCATCCCAACTTTATGTGGTATGGTCGTATCATCTATGATATCTTTAGTGTATGGTATCCATTTATTAGGGTGTTGCTACTACCACAAACGAAGTGACAGACGACTAACTGGCGAAGAAATCAATTAAAATAATGTGGTTCGCTGTAATAGAATTTTCTTAGAAGCTTGTGCCATCAGCCACCAGATGGGCTAGTATTTTTTTTTGATTTGAACATAGTTGATTTTGTGTGCAATATGATCTTTGACAGTGTGCAAAGAGTGTATCATTTTGTCATTTTTTTATGCATTTCAGTTTAGAGTAGAGTGAAAGAGATAGAACCAAAACATTCTAAATTTAGTGTTGCCATGTGGTACAATCCATTAGTAGTGTTGCCATGTGGTACAATCCAGTAGTAGTGGTGTTGCCATGTGGTACACTGAAAAAATGCAATAGCAGGTGCGTCACCAAAGTTTTCGAGCCGCTCCGTCTGTCACTTCGTTTGTGCTACTACTGGATTGTATTAGCATTTTCACCAAATGTATTAGAATGTTTTGGTTCTATCTCTTTCACTCTACTCAAAACTGAAATGCATAAAAAAAATAACAAAATGATACACTCTTTGCACACTGTCAAATAATCATTGTACACAAAATCAACTTTGTTCAAATCAAAACAAAAAAACTAACCCATCTGGTGGATGATGGCACAAGCTTCCAAGAAAATTCTATTACAGTGAACCACATTATTTTAATGGATTTCTTCGCCAGTTAGTCGTCTGTCACTTCGTTTGTGGTATCATTTTGTCATTTTTAATGCATTTCAGTTTTGAGTTGAGTGAAAGAGATAGAACCAAAACATTCTAGTACATTTGGTGAAAATGCTAGTACAATCTAGTAGGAGTGTTGCCTGGTGGTACACTGAAAAATTGCAATAGCAGGTTTGTCACCAAAGTTTTCGAGCCGCTCCGTCTGTCACTTCGTTTGTGTTTGTACTGCGGAAATCCTAAAAATATATTCACTCTACCGATTATATACTGTTGCTTGCTTAAATTCATCTAAATCAGTTAGAAATGTTGATTTAAAAGCCGTATGACAATTTTCTCCTGAATGCTAGATATGAGTAACAACTTAGCTGAAGTTCGCATCATGAATCCAGTTAGTTTTATTGAGATATTCGCTTTTGAATTTATACGAAAATTTTAACCAAATATCCTATAGGTCTTTTTAATAGAAACTAAACGATCGATTCAACCTCTGGTGGTGAATAGGAGAACGTCAAAAAGAGTGTTGTGAGCATAAATTTTTGCCTTGAGACATAGGAAGCGGAATACTTTTTTACTCTTCCTGATAAATTGATTCATCTGAGATGCTGCAAAACTTAATCTACAGTTGAAAAATTTAATTCTGTAACGTTTTGGAAAAGATCCTGCTGGTGTTCAGGAACATTTTTGTTGAGAAAAATGGAAAATTAGAAAAGTGCCTTAGTGGTTATGATCAGGCTTGCTTCCACTCACTTGCTATAAAAAATAATTTTCGATATTTTGAATTCATTAGATGTTTAAATGATATTTTGTACTTGATAGATACAAGAAGAGGTTGAAAGGCAAGTATTTGACAAATTCAACCTGTCAAATTTGCTTTCAGATAGTCACAATCAGCCATTTTACGACTCGCGAGCGCTCACTCTGAGTGAACGCTCACGAATCATAAAATCGCTGATTGTGACACTCTGAAAGCAAAATTGACAGGTTTCGTGGGTCAAACATATACTTTACATCTTCTTCTTTTAGCTTACAAGTACAACATATCCGTATAACATCTGATGATTTCTAAATTCCGTAAATAATTTTTTTATAGCAAGTGAGTGGAAGCAACCCTGGTTATGATCTTCGGGATTTCTTGTGTGTGAATAGTTAAGGTGCAAATCAGTTCAGATTTGTGGAAAATCGTACAATAAGACAATTACCGATGGAAATTGGCAAGATTTTGAATGAAAAATGCTGTTATTTGCGTTGGGGAAAATAGTTATTCTGATGTAAACAAACGGTTTGGTTGACGTTTCTTCTCGAACTTGCGTGGCGCACTCTACATTGGTGGTGCATTAAAAAGGCGTATATGAACATTAAACCAAAAGCACAAACGAAGTAACCGACGACTAACTGGCGAAGAAATCAATTAAAATGACGTGGTTTGCTGTAATAGAATTTTTTAGAAGCTTGTGCCATCAGCCACCAGATGGGCTAGTATTTTTGTTTTGATTTGAACATAGTTGATTTTGTGTGCAATATGATCTTTGACAGTGTGCAAAGAGTGTATCATTTTGTAATTTTTTTATGCATTTCAGTTTTGAGTAGAATGAAAGAGATAGAACCAGAACATTCTAATACATTTGGTGAACATGCTAGTACAATCCAGTAGTAGTGTTGCCATGTGATACAATTTAGTAGTAGTGGTGTTGCCATGTGGTACACTGAAAAATTGAAATAGCAGGTTAGTCACCAAAGTTTTCGAGCCGCTCCGTCTGTCACTTCGTTTTTGCTAAAAGTGGTCATTTTATACGATAGATGAAGAGATTTATTTTTCCTTTATTTAACGTCGGTCTCTGTTCCGCAATCTAGTGCCAATCACCGACGGACATCGATTGCCATCCATTGACGGCAATCGAATGTACAGGAAGGCAGCTTCCACACCTGCGTAGGATATCGCACCCATTCAACAACACACATGGGCCGGGACCAACGTCTTTACTTCCCTTCCGAAGGAAGACGTGACCAGAGATTTTTATGCCTCAGAAAAATCCCACTGACCTCGGCTGGGATTGAACCCAGACCCATTGGGGTATTAGATAGCAGTCACGCTTACCACTACACCACCGGCGCCGGCACATTGATAGATGAAGAGATGAAAGTATAGAATTGATAGATCAACCTGAATCGCGCCTTCATCAAAATAGGTTTTTTAATGCATCACCAATGTAGAGTGCGCCAGGCGAGTTCGAGAGGAAACGTCAACTAAACCGTTTGTTTACATCAAAAAGGCCTATACCGCCTGTTATCTCTTTTTCCCTAACGAAAATTGAAAGGGAGAGCCTGTTGTCAAACAGCATGCCATTATGTTGTTTTCGTTGTTATCTGCACTTCTTTTGTATAGGCGTTGACGGCACCGTCACGCTGCTTGCAGGTACTGAGGGTGAACCTTCCAAAACATCTAGTGTTTGAACTGGTGGTCCGATGGTATGGCACAAAGAATGCACCAGGAACCGACAGAAAATCGCAAGTGCTGTGATCAATGTGATTAGTGAGGCAGAATGAAACAAGTCAGCACTTTTGTTATCACGACGTTCTTATGCATAATCTAGTTTGACTCTTGTCTTCTGGTCTTAGAGTTACCTCTATGATAGCACCCCGTCAACGCGAGTTGCCAGATCATTCCCAACAAACATTGAAAGCTGAATAAGAGCTTATTCAGGCAAAAATGTGCTTCTTCAGCTAAAAAATAACTTATTCAACTATTAATAAACTCAAATTGTTTGTTGGGTTGCTCATAAAACCAACTTGAATTAATTCAAAACAAAAATACTAGCGAACCTGGCGGTGAAGGGTGGAAGGTGTACTCAAATTCTACTACTGAGAACAACATTATTTTAATTAATTTCTTCGGAGAAAGTCGTCTGTCAGTTCGTTTGTGGTCTTGCTTTGTAGCTGCACCTTTACCGACTGAGCTAAGGGAGGCCCCTTAGTAATTCATCACGATTGGCAAATTAAAGTTGGCACTCGTGGAAAATAGAAGAACTATGAAAGTGATGATGGTTTCAAAATTTTACACTGGGAGGTATACGAATGCAATCTTAAAATGCTTTTATTTTGCAAATGGAGCATTTTATTTTATTCTGGTTGCTGTTACAGTGGTAGAAAAGTTAAAATCTATGTCTACACCTAAAAATCTGAAAAGAAATTATTTTTACTATATTATATGTGTATTGAGTAGTCCTTAAGTTTTTTACTAACGTAGCATTAACCAGATTTAAATAAAATGTTCCATATGCAAAATAAAAGCATTTTAAGATTGCACTCGTAAACCTCACCGAGTAAAATTTTGAAAACATCATCACTTTCATAGTTCTTCTATTCTCCACGAGTGCCAACTTTGATTTGCTAATACATATTAATTCATTTCTTCCTACATGGATAGAAATCTCCTTATACCTTTTGGCAAATTTCTATTGCTGATTATTCATAAAATGTATAAGTCAACAAGCAGACGCCTTGCAAAAAGTTAATGAAGATCATGTCAGGCATAACATTTGATAACGGCACAAAAGCATTTTTAAACAAACTTTCTAAGGCCCTTTACACGCGAACTAAAGTACGCCCACGCAAACCAATACCACTTTCGGAAAGGTGATAGTTGCCCCTAACCGATGATGTCGTTGGTTTGCGTAGGCGTACTTTGGTTCGCGTGTAAAAGGCCTTAGAAAGTTTGTTTACAAATGCTTTTGTGCCGTTATCAAATGTTATGCCATTGTGTTAAATGAAATGTATAATCGGTCACACATACCTTTTATGCATTCTTATATGACCTATGTGGTTTGTCTTATGGAATGTATAAGGCTTGTTTTGGCAAAAATGTATCCAGCTTTCCATGCTCGGTAATGGCGGCCTGTTTGTATGAATAAATGTATCATTCACTGTGCTTTTCGACACTAACTGGAGGGCGTATGTTGTTCCATTTTCTTCTGTTCCTGGGAGAGGGAAAGAGAGGGGTCAAAATCACAACATCCAGATAGTGTCAAAAAGCACAGTGAAGGATACATTTATTCATACAAACAAGCCGCCATTACCGAGCATGGAAAGCTGGATAAGTGAAACACATGAATAAAATAATTGATTTTCGTTTCGTGTACCTCCTTCAGGAAAATAATATCAGTGATCAAAGGTGAAGTCCTAATTGTCTCCGTACATCCTTTTTGCTAAACCAGAAAGTTGTACATGTTCAGATGCCCATTTTTCGGCATAATTCATTCCACTGTGCCTAGGAAAACGCATTATTTCTTTACCTGGTGGCGAGTAGCTTGAACATGTTTTCAGGCGTTACCACCGCATCATCCCTGATGCTTCGAAATACGACGCCGTTGGCAGGAACACACGCACACCAGTGCGCTGTATCATCTGTTATTGTTTACATCGAGCCGGACAGGATTTTCAGTAGCGAGCCGCATGTTTCCTACACCGAATTTTCTCAATTATTTTTATTTGAAATTAACTGGAGATACATATTTGGTAAAAGTGAAAAAATCATGAATCTACTACCGAAAAGCGCTACCGACTTCGGTAGCACCGAGTACTGGAACAATTTCTTCAAGAAACGAGGCAAACAGGCTTTCGAATGGTGAGAATTTTTGAGGTGTACCTATTAATCCTCGATATCAAATTTCGATGCACCTTTCAGGTACGGTGAATACCCAGAGCTCTGTGGCCAGCTGCACAAGTGCATCAAATCCAAGGATGAAATCCTGATGGTCGGTTGCGGTAATTCCAAGCTCAGTCTGGATTTGTACGACGTTGGATTTAGGTGAGACTAGTTTTCTCAACTTTCACCTATTGAAGTTTTCAATTTCATCTGAACATTGCAGACAAATCACCAACATCGACATCTCCCAGGTGGTCATCAAACAGATGCAGGAGGCAAACAAGCTCCAACGACCGGAGATGCTATGGTACCACATGGACGCCACCGCGATGAACTTCAGCGACGAAAAGTATTCCGTCGTGCTGGACAAGGGAACGCTGGATGCTTTGTTCACGGACGAGACCGAGTCCACCGTGGCAACGGTTCGAAAATACTTTTCCGAAATTTCCCGGGTACTGCGCGTCGGTGGTCGTTACGTGTGTATTTCTCTGCTGCAGGAACACATCCTGAAGGAAGTGCTGGCATATTTCCCGGAGAATGAATTCTTCCTACGGGTGATCCGCTGCTTGGAGGCAGAGCAGAAAACGGCTGAGAATAGTAACGATGGAACGTCCATGCCGGTGTTTGTCGTTGTGGCAACCAAGTTCAAGAAACTTCCGCTGAGGGTTTATGAAGTGTGCATGGCAGGGGATCAGGTGCAGCGGGTTCAGAAGCCGGAGGAAGTTGTCCTTTCGGTGGCCGCAGCCCAGAAAGCTTCGATGGTTTGCAATGGCTTGGTACGGGGTAGCATTGCCGGGATGAAGGAGCTTTCGCTGGACCTGCATCGCCCGGGGGAGGAAATTCCACGGTACACGATTCATGTGCTGGACCAGAGGCCGGTTCGGGGGAATGGCAAGTATGCTGCTTTTATCGTTCCGCAAGGTCGGGAAACGGAGTGGCTTTTTTCGACACCCCAGGGACGACAGAAGCTACTGGCTTCGGCCAGTCATGATCGATTGGCGATCGTGTCGATGCATCGGGAACAGCTGTACACTAGCTGGGACGCGGTGAAGGACGAACTGGCCGAAAGCGTCAAGTCACTGGCCCCGCACGGATTGCATGCGCATGTAAGTTTGTCTCCATGTGGATTCAAATTTTTGTAGTTTGATGGAAACGCTTGGTCTCTTATAAAATCTGTTGATCTTTTTTAGATTCCCTACCTATCGCTCGGTTCGGAAGTCGGTCGTCGTGATACCATTTTCAAAGGCCGCAGTGCCATGTCCGGAGATTACATCGTAGAGGAAATCCTTGGGAATGATAATAAAATCTTCCGACGATTGATTTTCCTCAACAACCAATTTGTGATTCAATCGGAGGCGGCAATCAAACTGGCGAAAGGGAAGGGCAAATCGAAGGAATCGAAAAAGGTGGTCGATCCGGGTTATTTGGCTTGTCAGCACCATCTGTACATGACGATCGGAGTCCATCTGGCTTTGGGGTTGGATGACAACAAGGATGGTAACAGCAACGTGATGGTCGTCGGCCTGGGTGGAGGCGGACTGTGCACGTTCATTCATCAGTGTCTTAGGTAAGTTCGTCTGTTGAATACGGTGTTCCCTGCAAATCGGTTAAATTCATTTTCGTCTCAAGGAACACCAACATGACGGCAGTGGAGATCGATCCGGAAATGCTCACAGTAGCAACCAACTACTTTGGGCTCACACTGGACGAACGACTCAAGGTGGAAATCCAGGACGGAATCGACTATCTGGCGAACTGCGTCCAGCAGGACGCCCACTTCAAAGCCATCCTTTTCGACGTGGACAGCAAAGATCCAACGCTGGGAATGAGTTGTCCACCGCAGGCTTTTCTGGACAAACAAGTTTTAGGCAACACGAAAACGCTGGTCGATACCAGCGGCATTTTTATTCTGAATTTGGTGTGTCGGGATGACTCGCTCCGTGGGAAGGTAGTGGACGAGCTGAAGCAGGTGTTCAGGTACGTCCTGTCCTACAAGTTGGAGGAGGATGTCAACGAAATCTTCTACTGTGCTGACAACGCCGCCCTGGACAGTGGCGACAAGTGGCAAGAGGCAATGAAGCAATCGGCTCAGCAGATCAACGCTCTGGCTAGGAAGTTTAAACTCAGCCGGGATGATCTGGTCGATTTGGAGGAGTTTGTTGAAGGGTTGAAAATATAGAGTGCATCAAAATACTAGCTGCCGAATTTCTTTTGTCTGTTCTACGAAAGAATTTCAATGTCACATTGTTAAGGTTTATTAATTCCAACAAATTCACTTTGCAATGCATTTTGCCGCTCGCTTTCTCTGTTCGTCTATATATTCCGCTTTTTAAGAGGTAAATGTTAACAGTGTTTCTTTTTTTTTTCTTCGCATTTGTTCTCCTAGAAACTAATAATGACCATTTTGTGTGTCAATTGGTGGCTGGTGGCTTTTGGATCTTTTACTATAAACAGCTGGCCTTTCTTGTATAAATGGGTTTTCTATTAATACGCTTCAAGCGTTTTAGTTTTGAATGTTATGGTAGTGTGTTTGTGTGTGTGCATTTATTTGTATTGCATACATCAGCAGAGACATAACACAAAACAGTCTTTGTTCAACTAGTTATCATATAAGGTTTACTAAGAGCTATTTTCTATGAACAGTTCAAAATAGAAGCTTCTACGGGGGTTATCTATTATGGGGATGCTCTTACGGATGGGGATTCAATTCTGCTGAATGGTGGCTCTTTTCTAGTGAAATTACAAGGAAGTTATGTATCCATTGAATTGTATAAGTAAAACCGCATAGAATTCATGTGAAGTTTTCGATATTTAAAATAAAAAAAATCGACAATGGAGTTTTTTAGGGGTATTGCGGTAAATGTATATTCGTAATCTGCATTAAAAATAGAACCGACATAAATAAGTGCAGCAAAAATCTTCATCTTAGCGCCCCTCGGTATGGGAGCGAGCTGCTCAGAAAACAAAGTTTTTTTCAGATGATGTATAAAAAATTATATTTTTTCAAAATTAAAGAACCCAATTCCAACACGCGGGCAGAAATCCCCTCATACATTTTGACAAATTTCTATTGCTGATTATTCATAAAATGTATAAGTCAACTTATAAGCAGACGCCTTGCAAAAAAGTTACTGAAGATCATGTGTCAAATGAAATGTGTAAATGGTGACACTGGAATACATAGCCGTGAACTTGTTTCGATTTATCTTCTTTTTTCCTAGAGGGGCTGTGGGATAGCGAGTTGGTGATTGTCTACCGTCCATACAAATACAAAAAAAATGCATGGACAATTGTATCAAATCGTAAAAAAAAACTGTCTATGTAGTTTATGAACAGCCTCTAGAACATCATTTTAAAGATTATTCAATTATTATGTAAGCATTATTCAATACGCTCCTCTCCCACTATACGACTTTATGAATAATTGCTTTTACTGCTCTTACTTAGTAAGATCTTACTTTAAATAATTCGTCTTCATTTATGATCAACATCCTTGCTTAAGATATTGCTGAGGTACTCTCCATCTCCAAGGCAAGACAAGCCGTAATAAACCTTCATTCGTAATTTTGTCATGGCACAATCTGGTTCAATGCTTAAGGGTTCTTCAAAAAGTTTAAAAGATGGTCAATTAAGACTCTAGAGATGTATGCTATGTACCACTAGTAAATAGGGGAAGGAGGGGCATAGTGAGCTTGCTTTGTTTTAGCCTTGGATTTCTTATGGTTTGAAATAAATTAATTGGTCAATAATCATTGCAATGGTGAACTACCAATCAATTTGATTTGAGTGCGGGAAGCTCATTATGTCCCACCTGTTCACTATGCCCCTCTTACCCCTAAGACATAAAAAAAATCATTTCAGGACCGGACAAAAATTACGCATAAATTTTAGTGTGTAACCAATCTGCAAAATTTCTAAACTAAACTAAAGGGTGATACGGTCAAAATTTGGTCAATATCAACTTGACGTATTTCTTTCAATTTTGCATTTAAAAAACCTGAACACCCCTCATTTTGAAGGTGTGTGTGTGTAGAATGTTGCTCCTATTTTGATTTTGGAATTCACTCTTCAGTTGTCAAAATGCCGTCCAAGCAAGAAGAGCAGGGTATCAAAATTTTGCTCGCGCATCGCGAAAATCCGAGCTACTCGCACGCAAAGTTGGCAAAATCGCTAAAAGTTGCCAAATCAACCGTTACAAATGTAATTAAAGTGTTTGGGGAACGTTTGTCGACAGCCAGGAAGTCTGGATCGGGGGGAAATCGAAAACCGGAAGCCGCTGAGACGACAAAGAGAGTTGCCGGTAGTTTCAAGCGAAACCCTAACCTCTCTCTCTCCGAGATGCCGCAAATAAGCTGGGTGTATCGTCTACAACCGTGCATCGAGCCAAAAAACGAGCCGGACTATCGACTTACAAGAAGGTAGTGACTCCAAATCGCGATGATAAACAAAATACGACGGCCAAAGCGCGATCCCGGAGACTGTACACGACGATGCTGACGAAGTTTGACTGCGTGGTAATGGATGACGAAACCTACGTCAAAGCCGACTACAAGCAGCTTCCGGGACAGGAGTTTTATACGGCAAAAGGAAGGGGAAAGATAGCAGATGTTTTCAAGCACATGAAACTGTCAAAGTTCGCAAAGAAATATCTGGTTTGGCAAGCCATCTGTACCTGTGGCTTGAAAAGCAGCATTTTCATAGCTTCCGGGACTGTCAACCAAGAAATTTACGTGAAAGAGTGTTTGAATAAACGTCTGCTGCCTTTCCTGGAGAAACACGGTTGTTCCGTACTGTTTTGGCCGGATTTGGCATCTTGCCATTACGGAAAAAAGGCCATGGAGTGGTACGCCGCCAACAACGTGCAGGTCGTTCCCAAGGACAAGAACCCTCCCAACACGCCAGAGCTCCGCCCAATTGAGAAATACTGGGCTATTGTCAAGCGGAACCTAAAGAAGACCAAAAAAACTGCTAAGGGCGAGCAGCAGTTCAGGGCAAACTGGCTTTCTGCGGCGAAGAAGGTGGACAAGGTGGCTGTACAAAATCTAATGGCAGGGGTCAAGCGTAAGGCCCGGCAATTCGGATTTGGAAAAGCGGAAGCCTAACTGAATATTTTTCCTGAATTTTATACTAATTGAACTTGAAAAAGAAATTTAATTTGATTTTTTAAATAAACGATTTCACCGATTTACACGCGTTTTCCCTTGACCAAATTTTGACCGTATCACCCTTTAAAATATAGACAAAAACGTTATACGTGGTTTATGAACAGCCACTAGCGTTTTTATATCGATGGACGGACTATGGTTTATATCATGTAATATAGGCTGTCTTGTAATGAGCACTCATACATAGGATTTCCAGTGAAAACTAGATGTATGAGTGCTCATTGCAAGACAGCTTATATTACATGATATAAGCCATAGGCTGTCCAGGGTATTAACCATTTTTCAGGCAAGTGCGGAATGTTTTTTTCCCGACGGAATTCTGAAATGCAACCCACGGAATAAGGCTCATTTGATCGTCGATATGACGTAACACGCTTAAGGCCCAAACGCAATGTGGACGGAAGCGGAATGGAAACGGAAAGTTTGACAGTTGTCACTAATGACATCAAGATGCCTAACCGAAGTCGATTTGGATCTAACAGGATCTAACTAGTTTTCAATCCGACAAGTAGGCTTACTCAGATCGGGCTTTTCCGCTGCCGTTGCCGTTCCGTTTCCGCCGTCATTGCGCTTGGGCCTTTACTAACACCACTAGCAGGTAGGAGAAAATTTTCCTTATCTGATGGTAGTGTTAGCATGCGTGGGGCGGCATTCTTACGACGTGCCCAGCCCACCGTAGTCGCCCAATTTTTGCAATGTGGACGATGGATGGTTCTCCCAGCAGCTGGTGCAATTCGTGGTTCATTCGCCTCCTCCGCGTTCCATCATCCATCTGCACTCCACCGTAGATGGTACGCAACACCTTCCGTTCGAAAACACCAAGGGTGCGTTGGTCCTCCACGAGCATAGTCCAGGTCCAGGACCACCGGTCTAATTAGCGTCTTGTAGACAGTCAACTTCGTGCGGCGGCGAATTTTATTCGACCGGAGCGTCCTCCGGAGTCCAAAGTAGGCACGATTCCCTGCCATAATGCGTCTTTGAATTTCTCTGCTGGTATCATTTTCGGCGGTCACAAGTGAGCCCAAATACACGAACTCATCGACCACCTCGATTTCGTCACCGTCAATCTGTCTTTGATGCGTTGATGGCAAGTCCAATCCACCTAACTTCAGCCTTCAGTCTTATGTACATTTCCGCCATCGTCTCAAAGTTCCGTGCCATGATGTCAATGTCATCGGCGAAGCCAAGAAGCTGAATGGACTTCCTGAAGATCGTGCCATTCGTGTCTATCCCAGCTCTTCTGATCACATCTTCTAACGCGATGTTGAACAGCAGACACGAAAGTCAATCACCCTGCCGTAACCCCCTTCGAGATACAAAGGGACTCAAGAGTGTCCCCGATACTCGAACAACGCACATCACTCGATCCATCGTCGCCTTGACCAATCGCGTCAGTTTATCCGGAAATCCGTACTCGTGCATAATCTGCCATAGCAGTAGTTGCAGCAATCCAACTTGTCGCCCTTTTTGTAGATTGGGCATACGACACCTTCCATACACTCCTCCGGTAATATCAACAATCAATACGAAACTAACAATTTAAAATTGGCTCACTACTTGAATAGCCTATTGGCCCCAATCAAACGATTAACGTACCCCATTCTAGTCAAAATTCTAGTACTACACCATATTTGTTTTGATTCGCTATGAAAGATTGACAGATAAAATGAGGGGTTAGTGGATTTTCCTATGTTTTGAGGGGTGAATCGATTAGCTTGAGACCGAAGAGAGTACCAGAGCTGAGCCAAAAAGTTGAGCACGTTTCTTCGGGACTTTCTAGCAGGGTGGCCAGTGAATTTTCATTTTGAAATTCCCGGTTTTTTCCCGGTTTTCCGGGTTTAAATCTTAAAAAAATTCCCGGTTGTAAATATTAAACAAAAAACCAAATTGAACGCATTTTTAAGAACGCTCTGAAAGGAATTTACTAAAAGGACAAAAAACATGATGTAAGAAGATTCCCAAGATTCTGGGGCTTTAAAATTTGAGTAGTGTCTGAAACTAGAACTTTTTTTTTTTCAAAATTTGTGATTACTAACAATCTTTGTGATGCAAGATTTGGAGTAAAAATAATTAAAATGTGAGATTTTGGAAAAAAAATTCAAGATCACAGATATGAAAAATTAAATAAATATCATACCTATGAGTCGTGGAGTCATAATTGTCACGCTCTGAGACTTGGAAGCATTTTAAGGGTTATAACAAATTACATAACAATCTATAGAATCTAGCGGACAAACCCTGGATTTTTTAGTAAATTTTAAAAGAATTCAAAGTGTTGATTTCAAACAAATATTGAGAAAGATTCCCACACAGTTTTCGAAGGAAAAGTTTTGAGCAGATTTCCAGAATTATTCTGACATGAAACCCCTAATAATTGTTAGATGAATTTGGAAGGATTTCTGTGGAGAAGAATGCAAATTCTAAATTAAATTGTTAGATAATTTTAGAAGATTTAAAAAGGAGTTGTCAAAAACAAAATATTGCGGAAAATACCTACGTGATTCTGATGAGATTTGTATGGGTATCGTGAAGAAAATTAGAGATGAATTTTAAGAAGAATTCCAAGAGAATTATGATCAGAATTCAACAAGAAACAGAGTTCTTAGATTGTGCTGGCAATAATTTCAACCACAAACGAAGTGACAGACGGAGCGGCTCGAAAACTTTGGTGACTAACCTGCTATTGCAATTTTTCAGTGTACCAAATGGCAACACCACTACTACTGGATTGTACCACATGGCAACACTACTACTAGATTGAACTAGCATTTTCACCAAATATACTAGAATGTTTTGGTTCTATCTCTTTCACTCTACTCAAAACTGAAATGCATAAAAAAATGACAAAATGATACGCACTCTTTGCACACTGTCAAAGAATCATTGTACACAAAATCAACTTTGTTCAAATCAAAACAAAAAAACTAACCCATCTGGTGGATGATGGCACAAGCTTCCAAGAAAATTCTATTACAGTGAACCACATTATTTAAATGGATTTCTTCGCCAGTTAGTCGTCTGTCACTTCGTTTGTGATTTCAACCCTAGTGCGAAAGATTCCTCACAAAACTCCAACAAAATGTATTGCAAAAATTCTGAGAATTAGAAAGAAATTCTTTAAAATACTCCAAGGGGTTTGTAAATAAAATTTCGAAAGAATTCTGCTGTTTTGAACAGAGTTAAAAGAAATTTTTGAAAATATTTTCAAAGGAATCAAAGTCTCCGAATAGGCTTAAGGGAATTCTAAAAAGCATTCCAATTAAATTCTTAGACGGGGTTGCAGAATTCAATGGCAATTATTACGCGGAATGTCTTCTGGTTTATTTCAGAACAATTTCAAGATAATTCAGAGCCGAATTCCAAGTTAATTCTGGAATTCATGTCATGAGAATTTTGAACAACGAAAAATTAAACCCCCGGAAAAGAATAATTCAGTTTCGGTTTTTACAAATATTTGTTTTGAAAGTCCAGCATCTTCAATATTTTCTTTTAAGGACCATGCACTTTACATCTGAAATTGAGACGACAAAAATCAATTTTCAATATTGCTGAGTGATTAAATTCTAAAAACAATAACACGGGAAACTGAAAAAAATTATGCAGCAAATAGAGCAAGACATTCATTTGGTAAAGGATAACTCTGTTTCAATGATTTATTCTGAAATTCTGGTGTAAAAATTTGTTCCTATGGTATGGTTAATTTATTTTCCCGGTTCTCTCACCGAATTCCCGGGTTTTTCCCGGCTTTCCCGGTTACTTTTCAAATCCCCGGATATTTCCCGGTATTCCCGGTTTTCCCGGTTTGCTGGCCACCCTGTTTCTAGTCTTAGAGTTACCTCTATGGTAATATCTCCTCCTCCCAAATCTTGGCAATTACGCAGTGCAGCCATAGAGGTAACTCTAAGACTAGAAGGTCCCGAAATAACGTGCTCAAATTTTTGGCTCAGCTCTGGTACTCTCTTCGGTCCCAAGCTAATCGATTCACCCCTCGAAACATATGAAAATCCACTAACCCTTCATTTTATCTGTCAAACTTTCATAGCGGATCAAAACAAACATTGTGTAGTACTAGAATGGGGTACGTTAATCGATTTGCTTGGGACCAATAGGCTAGTCAAGTAGTGAGCCAATTTAAAATCGTTAGTTTCGAATTGTTTGTTGGTCCAAGTCCTTCCACATATCGGCTTGGGGCATGTAGCCTTTGTGCGAACTAGCTAAATATTTTCCGCGAACACGGAGCCAGATGTCAGTAGTGTGCTTTGGTCAGAAATTTTATTGTTTTTGCTATGGTCATTCATGTCGGTTTGTCGGTGCTAACACTAATCAAATAGGGCGAGCTACCAGCTACGCCAAATCGACGATCAAATGTCTTAATCAACTTGTTTTCATACCTTCTCGCCTTTGTAAACAATGACTTTTCTAGTTGATTTCTAGGAATTTAAGACACGCCTACACAAATCAATCATATCAAACGGGTAGAGGAAGTCTTCCCCTACTCGATGGTGATTTCGATTTGCCAGCGAGAGCCATGACTTTCGAGAAATCATCGAAAGAAGTCATTATTTACCAAAGCTGTTACGGCCTAATTCCAGCTCTATCTAGAAATTACAGTTTTTTTTTAATTCAGGGCTGTCGAAATTTTTTACAAGATTGTTTTCAATCCAGGATCATACAAACATCTCTAAAAACGACACCTCAAAACAAATATTTAGAACCCACAGAATTTTCAAATTTTTCGAGATCTTAGAGTTAGGTTTATTCTGTGTCCAGGATTTTTTTTTTCTTTGTACATAGGGTGTCCCAGAAAGTATAAGCACACTTTCAACTCGCCGCCATTTTCACCCCGATGAAGTTTATCAGCTGTTCATCGATGTGTGTTGTTGTTTACTTAGGCTCTGAACCATTTGGTGGATTATTTTAACTTTTGGTTAAAATTTGACAGATGGAAAGTTATCGATTAACCACGTGGTTACTTCTGACAGACAAGAAGTTAAATTTTGACAACCTTGGCTAGGTTCTTCTCAAAAACCGGTCGATCGATAGCACAGGGATTTTCGAACATAGAAAATAACTTTCGAAATGTCACTTTTAACCACGAGTTAAATTTAACTCGGCAAATGTTTCACAGCCTAAGGCCACCAAAAGGTTCAGAGCCTTAGTGCTCAACAAGTTTGTGTGCGCAAAGTGCATTTTTTTACAAAATCATCAAAATGCGAGGCATTTCCCCGGAAAAGCGCAAACAGATCGTGCACAAATGGTGCACTATTCCCAACCTATCAGTAAGAAAGTTGGCAAAAATGGAGGAAGTAAGTATCGAAGCAGTCCAAACCGCCATCCGAAAGTTCGGTGAAGAAGTTACCTTCGAGGACACATCAAAATCTGGCCGTAAACCGGCACCGGTGGACCGAAAAGTGGACCAGAAGATCACCAAACTTTCGTCAATAAGAAAAGTGTATCTTTTCGAGATTTGGCCTTTTTGGCTGAGAACATCAAAGAGTAACATCCAACGTGCCACGGCAAGAAACGGGCTGAAAACGTTCAAGAAGCAGAAAAATCCGAAACGAAGTCAGCCTGTTGTATGGACGATGAAACATTCATCAAATTTTACTACAAGACGCTTCCGGGAGACCAATACTACACAGTCCGTGATGGTCAAGAACAGGCTTGCTTTCACTCACTTGCTATAAAAACATGATTTTCTTAATTTTGAAATCATTAGATGTTATAATCATATGTTGTACTTGTTAGATACAAGAAGAGGTTGAAAGGCAAGTGTTTGATACATGAAACCTGTCAAATTTGCTTGCAGATAGTCACAATCAGCGATTTTACGACTCGCGAGCGCTCACTCTGAGTGAACGCTCACGAATCATAAGATCGCTGATTGTAACACTCTGGTAGCGAAATTGACAGATTTTATTAGTCAAACACTTGCCTTTCAACCTCTTCTTGTATCTAACAAGAACAAAATATCATTATAACATCTAATGATTTAAAAATTTAGGAAAGCATTTTTTTATAGCAAGTAAGTGGAAGCAACCCTGGTCAAGAAGTTTACGATGCCGGTAAGTCAATTTTTACCGGAAAAGTTAGTAAGAAGTAGTGCTGTGACGATATCGATAAGTCCGATATTATCGATAAATATCGGATCTAAATTATCGATACGATAACCAATAGGGGAAATGTCGGCTTCGCCAATACCTTAACCTATTATCGTCAGGAGGTTAACAACATCCTTGTGAGCTCAATTTTGGCATGTAGATAAATTGTGTTTCAGAGCATCTATTGGCCAAATTTGAGTGCTCTAGGACTTTGTTTACCCCCTGACGATAATAGGTTAAAGTTTTGCCGAAGCCAACATTTCCCCTATGTTAAAATCCGATATCAACGATAATCGAAATACGATATCGGATGTTAATAATCATCGACATGGTTCTACCATAGAGGTAACTCTAAGACCAGAAGGTCCCGAAGAAACGAGCTCAACTTTTTGGCTCAGCTCTGGTACCATAGAGGTAACTCTAAGACCACTGGGTCCCGAAGAAAATCATTATTATTTTTGGCTCACTCAGTACCAGAACAACGGTCCCAAGCAGTCCCAAGCTATTTCACTCACCCCTGCATGTTCTGCATGAATCCACACACCCCTGATGTTATCTGTCAAACTTTCATAGCGAATCAAAACAAACATAGTGTAGTAATAGAATTTCAACTAGAATAGGGTACGTTAATCGTTTGCTTGGGACCAATAGGCTACTAAAGTGGTGAGCCAATTTAAAATCGTTAGTTTCGTATTGATTGTTGCTGGTACTCTCTTCGGTCCCAAGCTAATCGATTCACCACTCGAAACATAGGAAAATCCACTAACCCCTCATTTTATCTGTCAAACTTTCATAACGAATCAAAACAAACATAGTGTAGTACTAGAATTTCGTCTACAATGAGGTACGTTAATCTATTTGCTTGGGACCAATAGGCTAGTCAAGTAGTGAGCCAATTTAAAATCGTCAGTTTCCACCGGTTGGTTCTACCGTTGGTGGTTCTATCTCCAGTTGAAGGATCTGATAACGAAGAATTTGTTCGTGACGAGCCAATGAGAAAGACATCTACCGCTAATTTGGTATGGAGTTATCACGAGGGAATGGTTCAACGCAATAATAACCGAAGGATATCCAAGTGGATGGCTCACTTTGTACGGAAGGAAATTGATATGTGGGTACGTGAGGAGTCGTATCGAACTAATGTCGGGCCTTATTACGGGTGTCACTACACGGTGATAAGGAAGTGATACTCACAATAAGAGCCGTAAAAATCAAATGGGAATCACTTCACCGTGACGACAAGTGACGATTTGTTCCAGGTGCCTCTGATACATCTGTCAAATACTACAACCATGGGAGCGTTTGTTTTCGAAAACACGGCGATTTTTGAGTGATGTAGCTTCGAAGAGTGGACAGAATATTTTTGTTTGTGCAATGTCGATGTTTTTTTTTTATTTCTCAAATGCACTATTAAGTTGGAAGGGAATGAACTATGTTTAATGTATTTTTCATTGATAATGCATATCGAACCCGATATCGATACTGAAAATCCGATATCGAAATTATATCGATATTTTCAGCGACCAATATCGATATTCTCGATAAATACGACATCGTCACAGCACTAGTAAGAAGGCCATGATTTGGCAAGCGATATGTGAGTGTGGCAAGTTGTTAAAGCCATTTGTGACCAAGGAGACGATCAACAATGAAATTTACGTTCGGGTCAATCAAAACTTTTTGGACCCTTTCTAAGGGATATTAACGCAAACACTTTAAGGCAGCGAATTCAATCGAAGAATTTGAAAAAGACTGGACAACATTATCGCCAAGGAATCTGTGCTGAAGCTCATGGGCAGCGTCAGATCAAAAGTTCGCTCCTTGGCATACGATTAAAGGAACTACTATACTATAGAGAACATATAAGTTAGGATCGAACCCTCATCCCCAACACATTTTCGGAGAACTTCGAGATTAGGGCGTAATTGCTGTTGTAAACAAACAAGTCATTTGCCGATTTCTCACGAATTAAAGCTCAATCTAAAAAACTAATAACACAAACAGGTAGAGGATGCGGACAATATCCAGGATTTCATCAGCTCTGTCTACCAAGTGGCAACCACATC